ATTGACTTTAGTGTGTAGAGGTTCGATAAGAAGAGATTTTCAGAAACTCGAATTCTAAGGGGGTGTAACTACTCTGAAATATTAGAATATTTTTATTTAAAAACCGGTGAGTTTTTTCGGAAAACTCTTAAAACACGTATATTTTAATATGTTGTTTAACATATTTTAAGATTTTTTAAAAATATATACAGGGTGTTTCATAAAATATGACCATTGAGTAATCACTATTCTGCTTAAACTGCTGGACGTTTAAAGCTGATTTTTTGCAAACGGATTGACTGTGGGGTTGAGGTTCGATAAGGAGGGGTTTCTCGAATCTCAAATTCCAACAGGGTGAAAACGACCCTCGATTATTACAATATTTGTTATTTAAAAAACGGTTAGTCTTTCGGGAAAACGCCTGGACACGCATAATTTATTTTGTTTTTTTTACATATTTTGAAATTTTTTAAAAAATCATACAGGGTGTTCCAAAAAGTTGAGTAATTGATTAACCACGATTCTGCTTAAACTGCTGCTCGACGTTAGAAAGCTTATTTTTGGCAAATGTGAAAAATTTTATCCAGTTTGTATGTTAATGGAAATTCTTGTTTTGCTTTATCATCACCATTAGAAATTATTAATTCGACGCGAACGAAGTCGCGGGTACACGCTAGTTTAAGTGTAAAATTAATTCGAACTCTAGTGTGTAGTTGGTTTACTTATGAAGAATATACTACACATTTTCTTATATTGCTATTTTTTTTGACCGCAAATGGTAAAATCATAACTAAGAGCTTCTCGCCCGTCGAGTGAGATGCACCCTGTACACTGCTACGCAATTCAGGATCTACGCGGATCGAGGGGCAGGGCGTAGGTATATACTATAGACGAGTGGCCGAATTTTGGCTTTTTTTTATATCGCAATTTGTAAACAGCGCTTATTTGTAAATAACCACCGTTTTAGAGAGGTATTTTAGATAACAATCGATATTTAGAAATGTTTTTGACACCCTGGAAATACTACCACCGAGCACGTCATTGTTGCAACTTGTAACTGCGTTAATACGCCTGGCGATGACCGTCTCATACTCTTTCAGATATTTAGTAGTAAAATAAAGAAACCTGTTATTTTTAAGCTGTTATTTTAAGCTGTTTTTTATAAATAACTATAACAGTTTCAACTGTTATCTAAAAATAACAGTTTTGCCCATCACTAGTTGCTATAGCTATAAAAAACTATTTTTTTAAGGTGTGAAAATTGCGACACACGCTAAATGGACTTGATTTTTCGTATGTCTCGAAGTCTGTGGACCTTTTTGTATGCCTCGATAACATATTGGTGCAGATTATTTTCACCCAAACAAATAATAACCCAAACTATACATTGATGCGGATTGTCTATGAACTCTTTCTGAAGGTCACAGAAACCTGAACGCGTAATTCGGTGTTCTTTCGCATCTGTTGTAGTTAATTTGTGATATGGTAGTACCTTAGATTAAGAATGGTAGTACACATTGATCGAATGTTTTTTTTTATTTAAATAGAGTGGCATTCTAGATTTGAATATGATTGAGTTTCTTCCATAAATATTCCATGCTAACTTAATTCTTCTGTTGATTTCTGGTAGTAGAGATCCGAGCTGTGTATTAGTTGTCCCAAATATGTGTATTCTTCTACTATTTCCAGTTTTGTGTTATTTTTTAGAATGTCTTTTCTGTCTACTAGTTTGTTGTACTTTGTACATTACTTTAGTTTTTGCTAGATTTATTTACTTAGACTTAGAGACCTACTTTATTGCTGGCTGTATTTAGTTTGTTAATTTGTGTTTGTAGTTCTTCAGGACTATTGGTTAATATTATTTATTTATTATCATCATATTACATATTATTATTATTATCAGTTATTTAATTTATACTCCGAACATATTTTTGAAGAGGCAATTAAAGACACGAGTGATGGGATTAAGCTCAACGGTGTAACACTTAACAACCTAAAATATGCTGATGATACCGCGGTACTAGCAGATAGTCCAGAAGCCTTGCAACACTTGTTAAATCAACTTACTGCAGTCGGAGATCGTTACGGCCTTAAAATAAATACCACTAAAACAAAAATACTTATAATATCAAAAATCCCAAAGCCGCCCATATACAGGTTGGCGCACCTCATTCGCCTCGGTTGATTATACGAAAACGGAAAGATGTAGAAACAAAATATTTTATGGGTGTATGTGGGATGGCAATGTGCACAATTTAAAATTATTTTGAAACATACAGGGTATCTCAGAACTAAGATCCATACCAAAGTTATATTTTTTCTTATGGAACACCCGGTATTTTATTTCATTTTTGGATTCTTGGGCCCAAAAAAAGGCATTTATTATAAGGGTTAAATATGTTTAAAATCTTTTGTTTTTGAGATATTAAAGATATTTAAATATGCACGCTGCAAAAGAATTGATTATTAACACCCTGTACATTACTTTTCAGAATTAATTCTTGTGCTGAGTTTAAAGGTAAAGAAATAAACTTTACTGAAAAATGTAATTGCTTCCTTAAATTTATACAGGGGTACCAAAAATTGGTGATCTGTTTTAAAGATTTATTTTACATAAAAACTTTGTTATTTCAAATGCAACACCCTGTAATTTTTTAAATTAATCGAAGCAGATTTAAATGCTCCTTCAAACTATATTAAGGTTTCCTATACCTATCTATTTCAGATTTTGAATAAAAAATGATTTTTAAATAAAATGGCAATCAAAAGTCGGCTGGTATCGCCATGGCAATTTTCTAGTGACAGTTAGTAACTATCTTCAAAATCGACATTAGTTTATGGACATTATTATTTAAACAGTTTACTAAAATTTACCCACAATAGTTTAATAAGTAAGTATTCTTTATTTTATGAAGAAAAATAAAGCCGTATCTGCTGACGGAACGAATGGATATGTTACTAGTGGTTTTATTTTGTGAGAAAAATTATTTCTTGGCCTCAAGAGCTTATGCTCAAAGATATCCAAATAGGAATCTTCCTGATAAGTGTTCCTTTGAAAAACAACTTGTCCTATTTCCTATTTCGCAGAGTTGGTAGTGTAGTTTATAAAAAAAAACCTATTAGGCAGAAACCTATCGTTGGAAGTGAATTTATTGAATTTGTCGTAATTGGCTCTTTTATAGAAAATCCATATATCTACTAGTTATCGTAAAATAAAACAAAGAACTACATCTTCGTTTTTCTTGATAGAATAATAAATACATATTAATAAATATTATTTATTAAACTATTGTAGGTAAATTAAATAATAATAAACTGGGTATAAATTTAAATAAAGTCTATAAACTAAATTCGATTTTGAAAATAGTTACTAACTGTCACTAGAAAATTGCCATGACGACACCAGCCATCTTGATTGCCATTTTATTTATAAAATCGCTTTTTATTCAAATTATGAAATAGATAGGTTAAGGAAACCCTAATATAGTTTGAAAGAGCATTTGAATCTGATTCGATTTATTTAAAAAAATACAGGGTGTTGCATTTGAAATAACAAAGTTTTTATGTAAAATAAATCCTTAAAGTAGATCACCAATTTTTGGTACCCCTGTATAAATTTAAGGAAGCAATGACATTTTTCAGTAAAGTTTATTTCTTTACCTTTAACCTCAGCACAAGAATTAATTCTGAAAAGTAATGCACAGGGTGTTAATAATAAGTCTTTAAATATCTCAAAAACAAAAGATTTTAAACATATTTAACCCTTATAATGAATGTCTTTTTTGGGCCCGAGAATCCAAAAATAAAATAAAATACCGGGTGTTCCATAAGAAAAAATATAACTATGATATGGATCTTAGTCTTATATTTCAAAATAATTTTAAATTGTGCACATTGCCTCTCCACATATACCCATAAAATATTTTATTTCTACATCTTTCCGTTTTCGTATAATCAACCGAGGCGAATGAGGTGCACCACCCTGTATATATTAGTATACTATATGGGAAACGCGCGCGCGCGCGAATAGAAGTGGTAGAAAAATTGAAATATTTGGGGACCTGGATTGCAACAACCTAGATCCAGAAATAGAAATTAGATCCAGAATCGAGCAAACAAGAGCCACTTTTAACCTGATGCGGCAATTACTGTGTAATGCCACCCTAAGTATGTGTCTTAGATACCGGTGTGTGAAGTGCTATGTACACCCGGTTTTGTTGTATGGCTGTGAATCATGGACTCTAAAGGCTAACACCATTAACAGAATAGAAGCCCTTGAGATGTGGATTCTTCGTAGACTTCTCAAAATACCTTGGACGGCACATGTCACAAACGAAGAAGTGCTGATGCGAGCCCAGTGCGAAAGAGAATTAGTGCACATAGCCAAGAAACGTAAGACAGTCTATCTGAGTCATATAATGCGTGGAAGTAGATATAAGCTGCTAAAATTGATGATGGAGGGAAAAATTGAGGGCAAGCGGGGTATAGGTAGAAAGAAGCATTCATGGTTGAAAAACATCAGAGGTTGGACGGGTATGGATGCAGACTCGTTATTTCGAACTGCCCAAGATCGTCATCAGAAGTTCGCCAAGATTGTTGCCAATCTTCCATGAACAATGAAGACGGCACTCTGAGAAGAAGATTGGATATTAGGACTATGTCATCAGCGAATCTTAGATGGTTAAGATATTCTCCATCTCTTTTTAATACTTTGCTGGTCCAGTCTAATTGACGAAATATTTCTTCTGGTGTTGCTGTAAACAGCTTAGGAGATATTGTGTCTCCCTGTCGTACTCCTTTTCTGGTTGGGAACTCTGGGATTGTTTTATATACTCTTGCTTTGACTTCTTTGTATATATTGGCGAGAGTTTCTATGTAAGGCCTGTCAATTCATTGATTCCCTAGGTCTTCTATTATTGCCTTAGGATATATCGAATAGAGATCCTTCTCAAAGTAAAGGCTTTGGCTAGTGGAAGATCTCTTTTTATAATTTCTTATAAATAATTGTATGTTATTTTCAGGTGGTTGGATTGGCTCGTCGGAAGTTTTTAATGGATGAGCATAAGAATCGATGGAAGAGTAAAAAAGGAACGTTTCATCCCATAAAATGTGACGTAATGGAGGAATCTGATATTGTCAACGCTTTTGAATGGATAAAGAAAAATTTAGGCCCAGTGTCCGTGCTGATTAATAACGCTGGCATAGGAGGATATACAACTTTAATAAACGGTAAGATTATATATGTTGGCGGCAGATGCCGAAAATTAGACATATAGCGATTATAATTAAATATACCTACCTATATCCACAAAGTTACGCGGAAGAGTTTTGATTGTATTGGTTTCAACTTGTATGCGGAGGGTGCTAATCTTTTGTTGTTATATTATACCAAAAAAAGATTAACCCCCTGGCAAGTTTTAGTATCGACAAATCGCCATATTATGTCTAATTATTTTGGACATTGGCCGAAATTCGGCATCTGCCTCCAACATAGGTATATACTGGTCTGAATGAAAATCGGCCCTGAAACAATTCTTACGCATTGTTATGTAAAACTACCTCCTGAATCAAAAGATAAACTCCGTTTTCCCTCACCACCCCATGTTTTAGGGGGAGACCCCTTACCTATTTTTACTGCTTTTCGATGGTTTGTTGGGATGAAAAGAATTATTTCAGTACTAGCGTGTACCCGCGACTTCGTTCGCATCGAATTAATCATTTGTAATGGTGATGATAAAGCAAAGCAAGAATTTCCATTAACATACAAACTGGAAAAAAATTTCTCACATTTATGTCAGCATGAGAAAAAACAATCGAGAAACCCCTCCTTATCGAACCTCTACACCCCAAAGTCAAACCGTTTGCCAAAAATCAGCTTTACCCGTCAAGCAGTTTAAGCAGAATCGTGATTACTCAATGGTCATATTTTCTGAAACACCCTGTATAAATTTTTAAAAAACCTTAAAATATGTAAAACAACAAAATAAAATATACGTGTTTTCCGAAAAACTCACCGGTTAAATAAAAAATATTCTAATATTTGAGGGGTGGTTTTACCCTCTTAGAATTCGAGTTTCGAAAAATCCCTTTTTATTGAACCTCTACACCCTAAAGTCAATCCGTTTTCCAAAAATCAGATTTTTACGTCAAGCGCTTTAAGCAGGATCGTGATTAATCAACGACCAGATTTTTCGAAACACCCTGTATACATTTTTTAAAAGTCTTAAAATATGTAAAAAAATATACGTGTTTAAGCGTTTTTTCGGAAACTTGACCGTTTTTTAAATAAAAAATATTGTACTATTTGAGGGGTGGTTTCACCCCCTTGGAGCTGGAATTTCGAAAAATCCCTTCTTATCGATTCTACACCCTAGAGTCAACTTGTATGCGAAAATTGAGCTTCTTAGGTTGAGTGGTTTGAGCAGGGTCGTGATTAATCAGTGAGTCAGTCACTTAAGGATTTTATATATGTATTAGTATAGATTTTAGAATTCTTTTTTTATTTGAAAAGTAAATAATGTCTTATTAAAAGTATCAGTTTTCTGGTACAATAATGAATTTAATGGTTATTATTTTATTTATTAAAAATAAATTTTATTTACAGTTTATTATCTGATATCTGACTTTTTCTTAAACTTGAAATGTGCCTACGCCTTAAAGTCAAGAACCCTAAATTTAAGTGTGTATTTACTTAAATATTTTTTAGGAGATGCTGCTAAATGGAAAGCCATTTTTGACACCAACGTTCTTGGTTTATGCATGGCCACTAAGGAGGCAATCAATCAAATGACAGAAAGCAAAATTAATGGACACATAATCCACATGAACAGTATTGCAGGTACAAATATTACTATATACAGGGTGTCCCAGAAATGAGTGCAAGCTGTGCAAGTATTTTAAGGAGTGGTAGATCTGGTAAAAGAAACATTTTTTCTCTTTACCATTTTTCAAGTAAGTCCAAAATAACCGATTTATTTTACTTTGAAAATTTCCAGAAAATGATTTTTTGCTTAAATTTTGAGAACCACTGGATCTTTTCTGGATTTTCTTTCACGTAAATTTAATCTACTACCTGTGTTGCTATATTATCAAGAAATTGTGTTTTTTAACTTAAAACTAAAAACATTTCCAAAATTTTGTGTTTCTGAGGCCGAAATATACTACCAGTTAAAATACTTGCACTTATTACTGGGACACCCCGTATATTCATTATATTTCAAGTACTTTTATTGAAAATATTAAAACTTATAATTAATGACAATATTTTTTATAAATAGAAAATTATGAGATTTCACCAGGTATTTAGGTTTAAAACTCTATACAGGATCTTCAAAAAGCGTGGCGATTGACCATCTCTCATGGGGGGATTTCTCACATATAATAATAAGATTTATTTGTGATAAACTAGACTGTCTTAAGACTGCTACCAAGGACTGCCAGCGACAACAGTGAGACACCCCGCGAATTTACTATACCGGGTGCGTCTCAAAAGTGGCTTACTTATGCTATAACTTTTTAATTTTTTCAGATAAAAAAACGAAACTAAACATTTTAGGACATACATTTATACGAACTTTTTTACTTATTTTTATTTGCAGAATATGCTGTCGAAGTTTCCGGAATACTATTCGAACCACCCTGTATAACATAAATTAGGATTGACTGACGTATTCAATTGATTTTGGTCACTTCCTGTTTTACCGAAAATAACTACAACTTTTAGTGTTTAAATGGTATCCTCGGTGTTTTTTACTTTATTCGATAGAAAATCACTCTGAATAGAATGATTTGAAAAGTTGACATATCATATGTCAACTTTTGACTGATATGGTCTATTTGAAATTGTAACATGCGGTTCATAACAAGAATTTGACTCGAAATACCAAGTGTGTGGTACCAAATTATTCGTAGAAAAATGCTTTTCCAAATATGCTAATGAGCCACCCTTGTTCCATTTGAAAAAAAAATTGAGATATGATTAAAAATACGATTTGGGCATATTTTAACCGGTCAGGACAAAACATGAAAAACATTACACGAACAAAACTATTTTTCCAATGCTCCTAGATTAAAAATTAGTGTTTTTAACACAACCATGGTAGTCTAGATTGAAATATAAATACGATTTTCTTTCAGTTTTTATCCATCTTTCCTCTCGAGTCTCGTGTGTCATCTTTCGTTGTAATGCCTGGCTTCCTTCTTGAAGAGTTATACAATTTATAATTACTATGAATGAGTTGTGTAAATGTTAACAGCTCTAATTAATTTTATTTCTTCCGAGTGGTTGTACTTCCTAGGTGACTTTTGTGTGAGTACGCTTTTATTTTAAAGAACACAAGTTTAATTAAATTAAAATAAAAAATAATTCTTCTACATATATAAATTAAAATAAATATTAAACTCTAAAAATTAAACTTAAGTAAATGTTAATTTTCTACAATATATAAATTTGACATATAAATTAAAATTCAACATATACTAATTAAAAAATAAAAAAAACAAACATAATAAAATTCTTAACTTGTTCCTAACTAACATAACTAAAAAAAAAATTATCCTACAAAATTGAATATCAGCATATACAGATTAAAATAATTAATTCTCAACTTACATTACTAATACAAAAAAATATATAAAAAAATATATCACTCAAAATAAATTTAAGTAATGCTTAAGTAAATTTCTTTGAATTGTGCATTGAGGTGTGATTTGATTATTGCCTGGTTTTTTCTTTCAATTTATCTAATTATAGCTGATTATACGGCTCCCCTCACCTTATGATTTTAGTCTAGTTGTTTTTAATTTTTCAAATTTAGCATACCATATTGTTATCTGTGATTGAACAATTTTTGTGATAGATATAACTTTTTTACTATGTAAAAAATGCTTGACTTTTTAACTTGTTGTAATTGTATTTTATAAATTTGACCTCTGTAATTGTTTTAGCTTTGGGCCTGATGATGGGAATAGTTTAAATTCCCGAAACATGCCCCCTTGCTTTTTTAAGCATTAAAATTTAAATTAAACTACTTAAAGATTGTGAGTTATTGTCCTTTTACCCGCCTTCAAAGGTTTTGCTTTGATAATATGTACTCACACTGGGTTAGAGAACGTTTAGACCAATATTTGTTTATTTTTTATAATTACAGGTTTTATGATACCATTTCACCCTAACGCAAATGTATATCCTGCCTCAAAACACGCAGTTACTGCATTGGTCGAAACTTTAAGAAGGGAACTGAATCTGATGAAATCTAAAATTAAAATAAGCGTGAGTATAAGTGGATAGTTAGACCAAAAAGTAGTATGTAGCAAGGTATCTTAATAGTTTTATTAAGTAGTGTTATTATGATATAGTGATATAGGGTGTTTTGAAAGAAAGTTCAATAATATAGATTTTTTTTATATAAGCTTTATTTTATTTAGGATATTAGTCCAGGGTTGGTAAATACCGAAATAGCAGATGTATACGATAGTAATTCTTATTTAGCTAAAGCTGTAGCTGATCCAAACAATTTGAAATGTGAAGATATAGCTGACGCTGTTATATATATTTTATCCACGCCACCGCATGTACAGGTTTGTTGACTCACGTACTGTCAGTAAATAAATAAAATAAAGAACTACACACATTTTGTTAATTATTTATTAACAAGAACTTTTATAGCACATTAACAGCTAAGTGTCAGGATCTTAACGCTTTTAACTTGAACACTAATTTAACAAAAAATATCTAGTTCTGTAGGTTATAGTAGTTTATTTCATGATAAATCCATTTTAATTGATATAAATCATAATTCTATGTAAACGAAGTTGTATAAATGAAAGTGACTAATTATTTATACAATTATAAATTTTGTATCGTCATCTTCTTATGAAATTTGGTTTAAAATATTTAATAAAAAGTGTATATTTTTTATGTTTGTATATTTGTTAATTAAAGATACTAAATTATCAAATAATGTTGATTAAATATATAGATATTTCATAGATATGTATATTTAAAGATAAATTATTTGATTTTTGAATATATTAACTTTTCGGCGTATATGCATGCATATTTTTATAAGATTTTTCTCTTGCAGATTCACGAATTGGTCATAAAGCCTGTTAACGAACCGTGGTAAAAATACCTACGTAATATATAGGTATACATTATATCTATTTGTAACTGTAGTTTATAATAAACGTTTTATAAAACAATATTGGTTTCATTTGTTTTGACTTTGAATGTGGTAGACAATGATTCAGTCAGTATTGAAACTAAAACAATTTCGGACTTTTATTGTATTTATTTATTTATGCTTACCCCAAGGATACTATAGAGATAAGGATAGTTCGATTCCTATCTTCCTGTACTGTCAGTTTTTTGACGTTATCTAGGGACGGAGCTGAAGTTCGCGCTAAATATTTTAGACAGTGACAGTTATTTTTGCATTTGACGGACGAGCGCACAGTGCGGCGGAAGATAAATCTAGCGGGACAAAACCGTTTGGTTAGAAATAAAAGCCAAAAATGTGTACTGATAAGAATAAATAGTAGACATTCCAATTGATATAAAAATGCATGAATTATTTTTTGGTCGTATATATTCGGTCGTATATTTTGTATTCTATAACTTTTTTATTTTTTCAGATAAAAAAACGAGATTTTGTATGTTAATATTACTTTATTCGATAGAAAATGACACTCTGACTAGAACGACATATCATATGTCAAATTTTGACATTTTCGCATATGGTATATTTGTAATTGTAACATACTGTTCATAACGACAATTTGACTCAAAATACCAAGTGTGTGGTACCAAATTATTCGCCAAAAATGCTTTTTCCAAATATGCTAATGAGCCAAACTTGTTCGATTTGAAAAAATTGAGATATTATTAAAACTACGATTTGGGCATCTTTTAACCGGCCAGGACTAGACATGAAAAACATTAGACGATGAAATCTATTTTTCCAAGGCTTCTTAATTAAAAATTAGTGTTTTTAATACTTCCATTCTAGATTGAAATTTAAAATACGATGTTTTTAAAGCGAAAATGTCAAAAGTTGACATATGATATGTCATTCTAGTCAGAGTGTCATTTTCTCTCGAATAAAGTAGAAAATTACCGAGGGTGCCATTTAAAAATCAGAAGTTCATTATCTCATCATTCATCAATCAGTAGTCATTTCCGGTGAAACAGGAAATGACCAAAAACAATTGAATACGTCAATCAGTCCCAATTTATGTCATATGCCAACATACCAAATCTCGTTTTCTTTATCTAAAAAAATAAAAAAGTTATAGGGCGTGAGCCACTTTTGAGACGTATCTGTTGTACACTTTATACAATATACCGTATGATCGAATAAAAACGGCGTCCAGTTGGCTGGGAAATAACGATCGATGACATTTCCCATATAAATTTACAAATAAAATGACAGCGATCTTCATTTCATAGCAATCGCTGACGCCGTTTTTATTCGATCATACGGTATTTTTGCACAGTTTACTATGCAAACTGAAAAGTTTATTAAATTGAAAACCCGGGCTTAATTTTACCTAACTCCAACAAAAAAACACTGTTTTGTGGCAGTGGCGTCGTACATACAGAGGTGGTGGTCGTTACTCCTCCCAGGAAGTAAAATTTATAAAAAAGATAAAATTATCTAGCCAATAATGCCAGTGCAAGTTTATTTTTTCACAATCTAATATCCTTTCAGAGTAAATTTAATCTATATAGTACAATCTTAGTACAAACAATAGTACTTCACTTAAATATTGCAACTACCCCTCCTTGTTTTGGGGTCAACAGAACAACAAAATAAAAGCATTATTATTTTATAAAAGCTTTATTATAAACTACGGTTAGAAATAGACAATTTGTATGTTCCTTAAATAGTTTTACCAAGCTTCGTTGACAGGCTTTATAACCAGTTCGTGAATCTGCAAAACAAACATTTTATAAAAATTATTAAGAAAGAAACATTAGCAAGAAAAAAAGTTTTCTGCGTTAACTTACAGTACCTAGCTAATAATTTATAAGTAAGTATGGCATAAGTATCAGAAGTTATGCTGTATATTATAAATTACATAGCTATGGGTACATATTAACTTGCTTCTCATTTTTACATTGACGATTACAATATTGTAACATCTTAAAAATCCATTTCACTATTCCGAAAAAGTAGCAAAATAAGCGTTCGGCATTTAACGTTTTATGTAAAACTGGCTAGGTATTTTTACGCAAATGAAGAAGGAAATTAAAGATAAAGTATTATACTATATCCGTATTGTAGTGTACTATATAGTGTAAGTATACTATATCCGCACATTTTTAGACAACTTCCTTATTTTTAAGATTTTGAAGGCCCAAACATCGACACAATATTCCTTATATTTGAACTAAATTTTCTAGAAAATAAAGACATAATTTAAAATTCCGTTACAATACGGGAATAGATTGAAGTTTTGTGATTACAGTGATATATAATTTATATGGTTTTGTGACAAATTGCTCGCTGTTTTATGGCAAATGCTGAAGATCTGCAAACCGTGATCAAGCCTTAATCAAAACACGTGTGTTTAGAATTTTAGGTGTGGTATAACACGACAGGATCGGGCTAAGTCTTAGACAGATTTCTGATAAATACAGTACGTCTGTCCGTTCTGTAGCTATGGGGTATCAGTGAGAGGGGAAACGATATCCTCTCGAAGTTTTTCGTAAAAAATTAGACGACGCGTCCCATCAATAAAAATTCGACAAATTTGCAAGTGGCCAATAAAATGAGTGGGCGGAGCGATTTGCGGTGACGTACTCGTCAAGTCGACGTATAAAATATATTGCTGTTTATTTAAATGTTTTTTGTCCGCATTCCTTTCATAGACACAGATCCAGCAGATGTACTGTAATATATATTTCCTTCGGCCACACACTCGCTTTACCCGAACTTGAAAGCGACCCGAACAGTACAGCGTAATAGACTCTTAAAATATTAAGTGTAATTATTTATTTCATTTCATAATTTAAGAGATTAGCTAGAAGTGAACTAACCTGTACGTGAGGAGGTGTAGATAAAATATATATAACAGCGTCAGCTATATCTTCAGGTCGTAAGTTGGTAGGATTAGCTATAGCCTTAGCTAAAAAGGAATCACTAGGCAATACATCTGCTATCTCGCTATTTACTAACCCCGGACTGATATCCTAAATAAAGAAAAAATCTTATATTAATAATCCACCCACTTTCCCCTAAAATGCTATATCAAAGTTATACTTAATAAATGAAACTATTAAGATAGCTTGCTACTACAGAATATACGAGTATAAACAAGGCTACTACTTTTTTTATAACCATCCACTTATACTCACGCTTATTTTAATTTTAGACTTGATCAGGTTGAGCTCCCTTCTCAAAGTCTCCACCAATGCAGTAACTGCGTGTTTTGAGGCAGGATATACGTTTGAATTAGGATGAAATGGTATCATAAAACCTATAATTTATAAAAATTATACTAATATTTGCCTTAAATTAGTTTTTTAGTCGTCACTTCAGTAAAATTATCCTATTCAAATACACATTAATGCAGCAAGTCAATACTACTAGTACTCTTACATTTTTACATTTACTTTAAAAGTTAAATTCCTCGTTAAAACAAATACCGGGTGCGTCTCAAAAGTGGCTCACCTTATAACTTTTTTATGTCTATTTGGTTCACCCCTATATTATTGGTTCACCCCTATATTATTGGTTCACCCCTATAACTTTTTTATGTTTATTTGAAATTGTAATATGCTGTTCATAACGACAATTTTACTCAAAATTCCAAGTGTGTGGTACCAAATTATTCGTAAAAAAATACTTTTTCTAAATATGCTAATGACACTTGTTCCATTTGAAAAAAAATTTGAGATATGATTAAAAATACGATTTGGGCATCTTTTAACCGGTCAGGACAAAACATGAAAAACATTACACGATCAAAACAATTTTTTCAATGTTCCTAGATTAAAAATTAGTGTTATTAACACAACCATGGCACTCTAGTTTGAAATTTAAAATACGCTTTGTTTAGCGAAAATGTCAAAAGTTGACATATGATATGTCATTCTATTCAGAGTTTCATTTTCTATCGAATAATGCAGAAAACCGAGGTAACCGCCATTCAATCAATCAAAGTCAATTCTTCTAAAACAGGAAGTGACAAAAACCAGTTGAATACGTCAATCAATCATAATTTATGTCATATACTAACACACCAAATCTCGTTTTCTTATCTGAAAAAAAAATTATAGGGGCGAGCAACTTTCGAGATGCACCTGGTATATTCCTAGTTATAAAGCACATTCCCTTAATTAAGTTAAATTTTTTATAAGTATTTAGAAAGGTAGTATTTTCTGTGGGTACCTGCAATACTGTTAATATGGATTATGTGTCCATCAATTTTGCCCTCTCTCATATGATTTATTGCCTCCTTTGTGGCGATACATAAACCTAAAACGTTGGTGTCCAAAATGTCTTTCCATATTGCAGCATCACCTAAAAAATACCAAAAAAAAACTGAGTTAATACTTAAATAAATTTAACTTTCTTGACTTTCGGGCGAAGGAATTTTTTTAAGTTTTCTAAACAATAAGATAAAAAATAATAAATAATAAAATAAATGTATTGTATCCTTTTTTATATTTATATATTATTAGTTATAGTATTACTGTGTTATCCGTGTTGATAGTATACAATATAATAAAAAATAAAGAAAAAAAATTAGCGAAATGATAGTAAACTAGCAATAAAATGTAAAGCTTCATTCAGAACCTCGCAATTAGTGGAATAAATTAGTCTTTTCATTCACACTTTATACTTTTTAGTTTACGATCATTCACAATGTCTAAAAAACACAATTAAAATTAATAGAATATCCTATCAAAAAGGGGTTAAATAACAATAATTCGCGTAGAGCTGAAAATTGGTACAGGTCTTAAATACACTATTATAAATGACTAGTGTGTACCCGCGACTTCGTTCGCGTCGGATTAATCATTTGTAATGGTGATGATCAAGCAAAGCAAGAATTTCCATTAACATACAAACTAAGATAAAATTTTCTAACATTTATGTCAGCATGAGAAAAAACAATATGGCGATATTATTATATAACTTGGTATAATATTTGAGGGGTAGTTTCATCTCGTTGGAATTTGACTTTCGAAAAATCCGTTTGCCAAAAATAAGCTTTTTACGTCAAGCAGTTTAAGCAGAATCGTGATTAATCAATTACCCAACTTTTTGGAACACCCTGTATGATTTTTTAAAAAATTTCAAAATATGTAAAAAAACAAAATCAATTATGCGTGTCCAAGTGTTTTCCCGAAAGGCTCGCCGTATTTAAAAAACAAATATTGTAATATTTGTGGGTCGTTTTCACCCGCTTGGAATTTGAAATTCGAAAACCCCCTCTTTATCGAACCTCTACACCCCACAGTCAATCCGTTTGCCAAAAATCAGCTTTAAACGTCAAGCAGTTTAAGTAGAATCGTGATTACTCAATGGTTATATTTTATCACCTGTATAAAAGGGGAAACACCCTGTATAAATTTTTAAAAAACCTTAAAATATGTAAAACAACAAAATAAAATATACATGTTTAAGAGTTTTTCCGAAAAACTCACCGGTTTTTAAGTAAAAAATATTCTAATATTTGAGGGGTGGTTTCACCCCCTTAGAATTCGAGTTTCGGAAAATCCCTTCTTATGGAACCTCTACACCCTAAAGTCAATCCGTTTTCCAAAAATCAGCTTTTTACGTCAAGCGCTTTAAGCAGGATCGTGATTAATCAATGACCAATTAATCAATTTTTCGAAACACCCTGTATACATTTTTAAAAAATCTTAAAATATGTAAAAAAGAAAATAAAATATACGTGTTCAAGCGTTTTTTCGGAAACTTGACCGTTTTTTAAATAAAAATATTCTAATATTTGAGGGGCGGTTTCACCCCCCTTAGAATTCGAGTTTCGAAAAATCCCTTGTTATCGAACCTCTACACCCAAAGTCAATCCGTTTTCCAAAAATCAGCTTTTTACGTCAAGCGCTTTAAGCAGGATCGTGATTAATCAATGACCAGATTTTTCGAAACACCCTGTATACATTTTTAAAAAAATCTTAAAATATGTAAAAAAGAAAATAAAATATACGTGTTTAAGCGTTTTTCGGAAACTTGACCGTTTTTAAATAAAAATATTCTAATATTTGAGGGCGGTTTCACCCCCTTAGAATTCGAGTTTCGAAAAATCCCTTCTTATCGAACCTCTACACCCTAAAGTCAATCCGTTTTCCAAAAATCAGCTTTTTACGTCAAACGCTTTAAGTAGGATCGTGATTAATCAATGACCAGATTTTTCGAAACACCCTGTATACATTTTTAAAAATCTTAAAATATGTAAAAAAGAAAATAAAATATACGTGTTTAAGCGTTTTTTCGGAAACTTGACCGTTTTTAAATAAAAAATATTCTAATATTTGAGGGGCGGTTTCACCCCCTTAGAATTCGAGTTTCGAAAAATCCCTTCTTATCGAACCTCTACACCCTAAAGTCAATCGTTTTTCAAAATCAGCTTTTTACGTCAAGCGCTTTAAGCAGGATCGTGATTAATCAATGACCAGATTTTTCGAAACACCCTGTATACATTTTTAAAAAATCTGAAAATATGTAAAAAAGAAAATAAAATATACGTGTTTCAGCGTTTTTCGGAAACTTGACCGTTTTTAAATAAAAATATTGTAATATTCCACCCCCCTTTTTACCCCCTTAGGGGATGAATTTTTAAAAATCCTTTCTTATCTTACGTAAACATCATAAAAGGAACCCCTGTGCAAAATTTCAGCTTTCTAGGGTCAAGGGTTTGGTCTGGGCGTTGATGAGTCAGTATCAGTCAGAACAGTCAGATTTATATATATAGATATCTGAAAAATCCCCACCCCTCCCACGTCTTCTAAAAAAGTTATTCAAGGTCAAAAGTCAAAAATATGTTTTTTTGCTTTTTTCTCCTCCAAAAAGTACCTTAAACAAATTTAATGTTGTAGACCATTAAATTTTCTGCAATAATGGTTCTTCACAGGTGGTGCGGAAATGTGTGCATCAGAGGTGTGCATATTATGAAAAATAACGAATTTTTCAACTTTTGAAAAAGTTTTTGTTTGTAAGATAAAAGTATAAGAACCATTATTGTAGAAAATTTAATGGTCTACAACCTTTGTCTACAACATTTGTTTAAGGTACTTTTGCGATAGCGCTTACCGTTTAGGAGAAAAAAAGCAAAAAACATGTTTTTGATTTTTGACCTTGAATAACTTTTTTAGCAGACGTGGAAGGGGTGGGGATTTTTCAGATATCATTTATAATAGTGTATTTAAGACCTGTGCCAATTTTCAGCGAATATTATGCGAATTATTGTTAATTGAAATGTCTATTTTGACTGGGGTATGTATGTTGTATACATAGAGAAAGTCTAATATTTAGATTATAAAACAATAAACCTTTGATTTCTAACCATAATTTCTCTTGTCTGATGATAATCAATGGCCAAAATGACATTAATTTACAAATTTTGAAGTATAATTAGCGGAAAAGTTAAAAGTTTGATAACTTTTTCTACAAATTGAAAATTACTACCACTAATTTTGACAATCTGAATGCTAATATCAGAGGAACAAACTTTATACGTTAATTGAAACCACTAATTTATTCCACTAATTGCGAATTCCACTGAAACTTATCGTTTGATAAGCAATTATTTACCATTTATTAAAGTTGTAGCGCCTACTATGCCAGCGTTATTAATAAGTACCGACACTGGGCCTAGATTTTTCTTTATCCAGTCGAAAGCGTTTAGAATGTCAGACTCCTTCCTGATGTCACATTGAACCGGATGGAAAGACCCTTTTTTACTCTTCCAGCGATTTTTATGCTCTTCCATTAATGCCTTACGACGAGCCAATCCAACCACCTAAAAAATACAACAGATTCTGTTACAGATATAGTCTATAAAATGAATAACTTTGAATTTTGACCGTTATTTTTTACCAACATGGTAAATATAAAATCACTCTATCAAAAAAGTTACTGATATTCTTTAAATTGAGTGCCTGAACGAATCAGATAGGTAACTCTTTTTACTTTCGTGAAATAGAAAAGGAAAATAATAAAACAAGTGACAGTTCTTCCTCTTCTCGCAAAATTAACACGAAATGTCATAACTGTCAAAAGTAAAATGTCATCAGCTTTTGCCATTTCTAAATATCAGACCAATGCCGTCTCTAATAGAACAGCCACGGAGCGAAATTTATGACGTCACGCTAGTTAGATACTACGGATTAATAAATATGTTGTAGAATACATGGAAAACATAATTATTCCTCGTATTTTTGGTTTGTATTTTAAAAATGATATAGTTTACATGAAATATACTTAATATACAGTTAATAGATACAATATATATAGCTATTTATAGTAATAAATAACGTTGGAAAATAAACTATGAACTATACAAGTGCGTAAATGTTTTAAAATATACAAATAATGAATAGGTACATAAGATAATGGGTAAAATTTAAAATATATTTTGAATTTTGGGGTTTGAAAATTGATCTAATTTAACAAAAAAACATTCAATATCTACTAATAGTGATGTAAAATATTATTATTTGCATTTACAAAATGTATATGTATATTTTGCAAGTATCAATATTCGAAAAATTATATTTGCAAATAATACAATATCATAGAAAAAAAGGCGTCAGCGATGGCTATGCAATAAAAATCGCTGTCATTTTATATGTAAAATTATTCTAACATTTTTGATTTTCTTGGGATTTAGGTTCGGGAAAAACGCTGATTAAGTTTTCAATTGGTTTTTCATTATTTTTATTTGGTTCAAAAAAAAAACGTTGCGGCTAACATTATAGCCTTCATCAGTGTTGTGTCATATAAAAAAATAGTGTCGAATATAATCCAAAAAATTACATATAAAATATTTACACCACACACCACATAATGTTTACTGCAATTAATAAACGAATATAAACTTGTCAAAAGATGACCATATATTTTTTAATATTATTATTCTTAACACTAAAACTATCTACATTGACTATGGAGTACGATTTCAGCCATCATAGTCAATGTAGATAGTTTTAGTGTTACGAATAATAATTTGAAAAAAATATGTGGTCATCTTTTGGTAAGTTTATATTAATTTATTAATTACAGTAAACATTATGTGGTGTTAGGTTAGGTTAGAATTATGTATATTTCTATTTAAACTATATCATTTTTAAAATACAAACCAAAAATATGAGGAATAATTATGTTTTCCATGTATTCCACAACATATTTATTAATCCGTAGTATCTAACTAGCGTGATGTCATAAATCTCGCTCCGAGGCTGTTCTATTAGAGACGGCATTGCGTCAGCATGGCCGCAAGTTGCTAACCTAATAAAATTAACACTAGAAAAGCCCGCGGGAACTGTCAAATTCAAAGTTATTCGTTTCATAGACTATATCCATTAAATCGAGAGGGAATATAAAGTTCCAGCGAGTCAGAGAAGATTTTGACAGATGATTCAAAAAACATTCGTCTGTATGCCGTTTTCTAGCCTGGCTTAGGTACACTATTTTTTGACACCCTGTATATCTTTACTCATTGATGGAATTTTTTGAAAGTAACAATTGTTTCTGATTACAAGATAAATATTTAATTTACTGTATAAAATGCATATAATATACCAATAAAGATTTAATTTACCTTTATAAAACAATAAACAAAACAAAACCAGATATGGAGAGTAAACACTTGAATGTTTCAGAAAGTATAAACATTTCTTGAACCATAATTTTTTATAGAAAGAAAAGGTTGTCAAATAGAGAATATTTATAAATTATTTTTTAATGTGCAATATAAAACCATACATAATTAGTTTCAGTCAATAGAAGTAGTTAGAAAATCCAACTGAAAAAGAGTGTTAAAAGCAAGGTTTCAAAATTATTTTGATTTATATTTACGGCTCTTTATAAATTTTAAGTAAGAGATGTGTAATAAGTCAAAATCAATTTTTTGAAAGGATATACAGGGCGAGTCTTAAATAAGTGCAAATATTTTTAGCGGTAGTATATTTTAACCCCAGAAACACGATCATTACTCCAGTAACACGATTTTTCGCAAAAATTATTTTTAAAAATTCGGATTTTTTTAAAAAAAAATTTGGATTTGTTTTAGGTTTTAGTTAAAACCATAATTTCTCGATAATTCGGCAACATAGGTATTAGATTAAATTTACCAGACAGAAAAACCCGAAAAGATCCAGTGGTTCTCAAAATTTAAGCAAAAAATTTTTTTTTTGGAAATTTTTAAAGTAAAATAACTCAGTTATTTTGGAGTTATTTGAAAAACGCTAAAAAGAAAATGTTTCTTTTATCGAAATCTACCAGCCCTGAGAATATTTGCACTTATTCAAGACTCGCCCTGTATAATACCCAGAAAATCGACAATTGCAAACTTTCATATGAAATACGAGTAGCTCTAAAACTGTTAATAACATAGTTTAAGGAGTGCAATTGTAAGGCTCATAAGCTCTATGCATAAAGAGATAAACAATCATTTAAATCAATGCATGAACGATTCGAGGTGTAACGCGAAAAAGCCAGTCAATTATAATTTTGGTAGTTTCACTTCTTTTAACTCCACTTTAACTCCTCTTGTGAAAAATCTTGAACTTAAGCAATGTTGCTATAACCTTGCTATAAGATGTTTCGGAAATGTGGCTGTAATAAAATTTTGCTTGTTGGGAATTGGGAAACTTAAAAAAAGTCTATTCAATATCTTTTAAACTTTTGGCAATTTTTTTAACAAATTATTTTTATTCAAATTCGACTTACTTGCACTCCATGTTCCACTAACTTTTCCGCAATTGAAACACCAATTCCAGCACTAGCTCCAGTTACAATAGCCACTTTACCAACCCATTTCTCCATCGACAGAGTCATTTTCTACAATTTGATTTCTATTTTTTTTTCTTGCTTTATATAACATATCACACTGACTGAATCTAATTGCCTTAATTTATTGTTTTATATACTAATTGTTGTGTTTAACCAATTTTTACCTCGTCTTGATATGACACATTTGCTTTTTTTGTCTCCAGTGACTGATAAAATTAACAATATTTTAATTGATACCTATATTAAATATAAAAAAAGTATTAAGCTTATGCAACTGTATTTAATTTCTATTGATTTTTTATAGTGTATAAAGAACTAAAAAATTTAAAAATAAAAAAGTTTTTGGCCCATGAGGGGATCGAACCCGCGACCTTCGCGTTATTAGCACGACGCTCTAACCAACTGAGCTAATGGGCCAGATGACTGATATATTGTTTCACTGCTATACTAACATCGTGGACAGGAAAGTTTAAAAAGATTGAAAATGATTTTAGAAATTTATTTTGAAATGTATTTTGAACAGCAATTTTTTTTATTTAATTTTTATATAGTACATTTTTAAAATACTCTTACCATATTTGGATTTCAGAAAAGGTAGAGATACAGTAGGTAGGTACTTAATTCGTCCTCTTTATCAAATATTTAAACAGTTTTTGTATCATTTTTTAATGAAATAAGCTAATTATGTATATCGACAATAATATTAGTAATATGTGCTCTTTGAAAATGTTACATCTTTAAAAGTAATCTGAAATGTCAATATTCCATGGGGATATTGAAAAATGAGGTCTAAATTAAAAGAAAATGCATATATTTTACGGAAACTTGAAGAGATACGCGAAAAATGGTTTAATACAATTTGATAGAGAATTAAATTGTGCATCTGATTCTTGTAAAATATACAGGGTGTTCTATTTAAATTAAACAAGTTATTGTCGTTTAGAGTTAGTAATTATATAAAGTAAAATTTTAGACACTCCGTATATAAGGTAGTATGTAGTATAACTTTTATTATATTGCAACACAAAATTTTGTAAATAGAAAAATTTCAGCACCTACAATATTTGGTTTTACAGCGTCCAATTGGCTTGGAAATGAATATCGATGACATTCCCCATATAATTTTACATAGACAAAAATAATCTTCATTTCTTCACTGACACCGTTTTTTTTTTCGATCATATTGTATTGTTTAAGCGTATAATTTTTTCATTTAGATTCAGAATTAAAAAATAAACATTTTTTGTATTTAAAGTGTTCCCAATTATTTAATAGTTTCGTAGATATAGTCTGTCCAATGGCAGAATCACCAAGCCTTTCCAGAGCTGAGAGCTCACAGAAAACTTAAGTCTTTTTTTGATTTTAAGTCATTTTTTCAAAGCTGACTTAAGACTTAAAATTTAAGTAATTTTCAGAATAATTTGTGATGTAGGATAATTTGTGTGTTTTTTTCAGGATAATTTGTGTTGTTGGCAAATCTCTTTTAAAGAATGATTTACATATACATACATACATACAGCCGTTACTCGCTGACGAGTATTCGACACACATAAAGAAAATGGTCACGCAAGGCGTTTTCTTTCATGAGCTTTTCTGTGACTGAAAAGCCCGATACGTGATGTTATCTGCCTACCGCACTCCGGACATTCAAAAATCTCATTGCTTTGTTGCCTCTCTACTTTTTGGTTGCCGCTGTTAACTGAGTTTACAACCCTTCTCCATTGAGTTCTATTGTGAGCTGCTTTTTCCCACTCATTCTGCATGTTAATTCCCTTTAAATTTTCGTGGAAAATGTCCTTGTATCTTTCAGTTGTCCACCCGGCCTCCTCTTTACCGTCCACAAGCTCACCGTAAAGCAGAGATTTTGGTATGCGGTTTTCTTGCATTCTGCATACGTGACCAGCCCATCTTAAGCGGGATTTTGTGACCATGACTTCAATACTCTCGCAGTTAGATTTTTCAAGGACCGATACGTTTGAGACATGATGGAACCACCGGACTCTTAAGAGTTGTCTAAGGTGTCTCTGTTGCAACTTGTTCAATGCGTTCATGTGTCGGCGGTAAGGCACCCAGGTTTCGCTCCCATATATCATGGTGGGGATTATAATTGCTCGGTATACTGCAAGTTTTGTTTTTGTACTCAAGTCAAGAATGATTTAAGTCTTTTTGGAAAAGACTTAAGTCATTAAAAAGATTTAAGTCTTATTATAAAAGACTTAAGTCAGATTTTTAATTATTTTTGTGATACATTTTTAACAGCAACATTTCTTATTAGATCTCAAACGCACTGACGACCAGGTCGCAGCCACCAGCATTCGATGTAGGGTGTATTCCGTTGCTTACCTTGGTTATGGTTTTATGTTCCATTTCTATTGGTTTCCTGAAAGTTCTCTTACTACGGAACGCGATTCCAGAAAAATTTGGTTATAACTGTCACCAAGTTTAGATTAGAAAGTGCCCATAAGTACAATGCTGTGGGACAATGTAAACACTATTTGGCGCTATTCTTGCAACGGTCGCGACCCAAAGCTTTTGCAACCTTCGGAGCGGTTCGGCTTTTTCCGCCAAATATTGTTTATTCAAATTTATTATTATTTTCTTTTAATTCTATAAATAAAATACAGTGTGTTGCATACAAGACTTTATTTTATATAAGGAAATGTACGAAATACTTGTACGAAACATTGGAAACCGACGTTATGCCTTATGCCTCGATCCACGATGGTTTTTGCAGTTCACAGCTCACAGCACAGCTTTTTAAGTTTTTAATGCCACTTTTTCACAATTATCACGGGTTGGAGTAAATAAAACTTGAATTAAACTCACAAGATAGCAATAATTACTTTGAAAATGGATGTTTATAAACACTTTTCGGAATTTCTTCAATAAGAGCGGTTTAGATTTTGAAAGGTTTTATCATTTTTGAAGATTCTGACTTTGACAATAAAAAATTATTTCTGTTTTTGTTTGCGGTTGCTGATAGCAACCGCTATAGCAGCGCCAGATCGCGTATAACGGTCGCGACCCAAAATAATTTCGCAACCTAAAATTCAGTGGCGGGAAAGTGAAGTATCAAAAGCGGTTCTACCGTTTCCACGGAAATCTCAAATAAAATAGTTCCAGCCCTAGCCACTAGGTGGTAGTGCAATTAATTTTTAGGTTGAGAAGTTGCTACTAGCCTTCTACTAGTTATTGCCAGATGGCGTTAAATCAGATTTTTTTTTGTAGTTTCCATAGTTTCCAACGGCCATTGTCATATTATTGTCAAATTCTCAAAAAATATTGTCGTTGTCATAGCGCCAATCAGGGGGGTGACAGTAAACCGGAAAATTGGAAACAGTTGTGGCGCGGTTCTACCCAGACAGAAAGCATGGCCTTCTAGACTGTCCTAGACAAAAATCTGAATATTCTGAATATTTCTATATGATTTCTGTCAATTTCTGCTACGGAACATTTTTATGCACGTCCGCGTCCTATTCTTTTGTCTTTTGTCTGTGTGTCAGCGGCAGCTCCCGAGGCCTCTGGTAAGGTCGGGCGCCATTTTAATTTTTGCCGTTTAGATTTGATTGGAAGTTTGTTTCTGATATTTCGGCTGAAATTTATAAGTACAAAGATGTTTTTTGATATAAAGTTCCTTGTTAACACTTTAATAAAGTATATATGATATTAATTACATGAAGAAAATGATGAAATCGACGTTTCGGCGTGTAGCAGGTATGGGCCATATTATAGGTAAAAATAGGTAATATATTAACTGTTTTTATATTTTTTTAGCTTTAAACCCAAGGATCTTGGGATATTCTTTCAAGGATTTTTCCGTATCTCTACTTTAAAGACTGATCGGTGATTTTGAGCAATTGAAAGCAAGTTATACAAGGTAAATTATGATTATTGAACTATTATTAGCCTACGTTAAATTTCTACAAGATGAACAGAAATGCGTAATTACATATCACATAGGTACCTATTATGTATTTTCATAGCAATAATGCTATAAATCTATGTATGTAGATTATTTTTAAAATACAAATGAGGTATTAGATGTATATGTATCATATTTTTTATTCATTTTATTTTCATTCAAGTCCTGTTTGATTTAATTCACAAAAGTCTTATGTAGGTACCTATATTTATATTTTTTACATATTTTTTTTGATTCCAGGTTTTGTGTGGGTTCCGGTTGCCTTTTTCCTGCTTCCAGTTATTTATCCGTGAAGCTGTGAAAACATTTATTTATCTTCAAGTTTCTGTAAGTCAATGCACTGTTACTTTACTAATTCGCTTTAACACAGCATCTCTGATATTATTTAAATATTTAATATTGATACAGTAGTTTATTGGTTTATAGCTCTTTAATTGTGTTGATTTGCATATTTACATTGTTCTAAATTCCAAATAAATATTTTTGAGTAATTTTGTTGTATTATTTACTACTAGAAAGAGTAAAAAGTATATTAACCCTCATTTAAACCTCCTGAACAGCCCGCCATTAAAAACCGGAAACGGAAATAAATTTCATAAAATTGAAATTGTCATGTCTATGTCATGTCAAATGTCCCAGCCGCCATATCTGAAAATTAGTTACCCAGGCAGCCACGCTGTTTCCATAATTTAACATTGACTTGACACTTCTTCTTGTATTTATTATTTTATGGCGCCAATCATAATATTATCAAAAATAATTATCAAAACCAAATCAAAACCATCAAAACGTTTTTCAAAGTAATTTGTTATATGTGTTTTTTATTTTTTTTTTACTTTGCTAAAATTTTTACGGGCTTTCCAATCTAAACTCTGTCACCAAACTAACCAGCGCGAGAAGGCTGGTTTTTCTGGTTTTGTTTGTCAATCATTAACAATTAAGATCATTTATGTGACAGAAATCAAGCAAATATTGTAAATAAGTTCGAGTGAAATTCTCAATTAATTTCTAAAATTTGTAAATATGGAGGTAGGCAGTAAAGGTAAATAAATTTCATTAACTAGACATAATGACTTTTTATGACCATTTAAACTTATCATGCAGCCATTGTTTCTTAAAGTCAAGAACATTTAAAGAAAACATGAAAAACAAAACAAGTAATCGTGAATGTTTTGTGAGCT